ATATGTGGTTCGGGAGATTTTGTTGATCATTTGATGGTTGCTTTAACAACCTTAGAAATTTTTATATGTTTGGATGGATCTAGCAACAGAAGAATTGCGGCTTGACATGGATCCACCCCGCGGCAATGGAGGTTTCGGTCACCAGCCCCCCAACAAAAATCTACAATTGGCGTGTAAGGCATGGCTTATCAAATAAGTAAGAATAAAAAAAACTTAGATTAACTGAACATTGATATCCACACTTGTTTGACTGGTTGGTGGTTTCAACCATCTTGAAACATATTAGTCAATGGAAAGGATTATCCCATATATTATGGAAAATAAAACTAGTTTGAAACCACCAACCAGTTGATGTTTTCAATTTGTAACTAATTATGTTTTCAGATGTGACGGTTCTTTTGTCAGCTTGTACAATCCGATTACTAGTCATCCCCCAACCATAGTGTCATAGTTGCATGTGTATATGGTTCTATTGGTTGCATCTATTGTTTTGATGGGTCGCATATTCCATGACATCCATAAAATGGGTACAAAGTGATGACTCCAAGTTCTGTTTTTTTGCGGTTTAAAACCACCACTACCTAGTTTGATATATATATATATATCGACTATAATATCGACCCTCTGCTAACATAACTATTGCTATGGAGAATCACTAGTTTAATAGGTATATAAATCATCTATAAATGATCCATTTTCCATAGCTATGTTAATTTAGTGGAGGGTAGCTATTGGAGATTAAAACCAAGTTAAGTACCGAACTGGGGCACCACCTTGTACATTATGAGTAAGATCGTCATATAGTAAACATGAAACTTATTATAACAGTGTAATTATATTCATGTACTATATGCACATACACTGATGAATTATTATGACATACCCACTATCAACCAATATATCACAATACAATATCATATACATATAGATACTCTAATATGTACTATAAACCCACAATAACATATCACAAATTGTCTTTAAAACACAACAAATACATTACAACGTCATTATCAACCAACGCAACTCCAAAACGGCCAGCGCTGAGCCTCTCGAATGGCTTCCTTGGCCCTGTCCAAGCCGATGACATCTTCGAACCTGGCACAACGAAAGCTGGGAGCTTCACAAACAAAGATATTTTACCAGCAAATTCTGGATATTTACCAGCAATTTATGGTATGATAGGATATTTTTTGGAGTGTTGAATTACAATAGATACTTACTTACTGTTAAATAATATACAATATATATCTATATATATATATATATAAATGGGTAATTCACAAACACAAGTATTTTACAAACACAAATGAGGATATGATTAATGATTTAAAATGTAATATTGTTCATTTCACCATCAATGTATCCATGTACATTTAAAAAATATATATATATATATACATATTACATGACCGGGGCGTGATTGAACATGGAAATATTGACCAGGATTTACGGAAAAGAAAACAAGGATTTTACATGATTCTACTATCACAGTGGGAACATTCAGGACCATGGCGATTTGACCGTCGGTATATCAAGGTTTTTTTCATTGACAGTAGTGGGAGTCAAATCATGGTGTAACGGAAGAACCAACGCCAAACAGTTAAATTTCACTATATGAAAAGATCCTGAATCGAAAATTCAAAGCGACTTGATTACACAAAACAAATGTTTGATAGGTAAACAAACCACCAACCTTCCTGGATTCGCCGTTAATGAGCCATTCATGCCATCCCTCGTTCATATTAAAGACTTCACAACTGGTGCCATGTTTATGGAATTCACATCTCCATCACCTATTTGGCACCATGTTTCCTGGGGGCGTTTCAAAAAGGGACGGAAGGGATATAGAAGATATGCCAGATAGATATGTCAGAAGATATGCCAGAAGATATGCCAAAGATATGCCAGAAGATATGTCAGAATATATGCCAGAAGATATGTCAGATAGAATGCCTGATTGAATGCCAGAAGATATGTCAGATAGAGTGCCAGAAGACATGCCAGATAGAATGCCAGAAGATTTGCCAGATAGAATGCCAGAAGATATGCCAGAAGATATGCCAGATCATATGCCAGAAGATATGCCAGATAGAATGTCAAATAGAATGTCAGAAGATATGTCAGATAGAATGCCAGAAGATTTGCCAGTAAGAAAATGTATAAATGTCATGGTGGGGATCACACGAAGTAAAGTATTTTTTTTTCAATGGTGAAGCATCTGGCCTGCTTTTGGCCCCCAATATTCCTGACGACGTCAGAGGGCCGCAGAAAATTAAAACGCGTGTATAACAGGATGAATTTGGCAAAAAACATCGGTTTGCCGTGCATGTGAGCGGTGTTCAAAACTTCAATTGAACTGAATAGAAATTATTCATCCTTGCGCGAAATCCTTGCGTCATCCTTGCGCGACTACAATGGAAGCTTGCGGATGACCAAAAAAGAAATGGGATCTAATGGGATCTAATGGGAATAAAATGAAAATTGGGATGTACCAATACTACTTCATGGAATTGGATTATGGTATTCATGGGTATTATCTATAGAACCTCATGGGATTGTAATGGGATATAACCGTAATCATCAGTGTAATGAACTACAATGGACATGTTTAATTCCCAAGTCATTTCAAAGTCCCTGTGCCGAACTCAAAATTTCTAGTCATTTCTCGGTGGCACATTGTGGTCATAAACCATAAATCTCACTATATATACACTATATATGTTGCCACTATATTCCTATTCAATCCCATCAAATCCTATGACTTTCCCACTAATGATATTCCTGGTTGGTGGTGCAATAACCATCTTGAAAAATGATGGAGTTCGTCAATGGGAAGGATTGTCCCATACATGAGATGGAAAACAAAAGCCATGTTCCAAACCACCAACCAGATTATTATTAATCACTAATACTAATAACTAATATAACTATTAAGTGGCTGTTAGCAGTAATAATGGTTAGTAGCCATGAATTAGATGTTCTCATTAATCATTATTAACCATAATTAACCATAATTAACCATTTTTAACCCATTATAACCCATTACAATCCCCACTAATTATATTCTCATTACATACCCCTTTTGTCATTGAATCCTCATGACTTGTCATGGTCAAATTCTGCAGACCAGCATGCTCATATTCCCAGCATGCTCCTATTCACGTCCGTGAATACCCATGACCAAGTGCATATCCCGTGAAATTTGCATTAGATTCCTATTATATCACGAGTTTTCTTTCAATCCCCACAAGCAGGGTGTGATGATTATATCATCCATTCTACCCATTATGTTCATTAATTACATCATGCGAAAATCATCCGAAATTCACCATTTGCATTCAAAAATCATCCAAAATCATCCAATTTTTACAAGTTTTTCATTAAACACGGAGCCCATGGGGCTTCAACCACGGCGGACCACTTTGCGCGCCTGGCTTTACGTCCCAGCTGCGTCACCTCCACGCGCGTGGCTCTGAGCTCGGCCTTTCATCAGATTTCACCAGAGGCTGGTTTCACCAAGAGAACTGGTGGTATACCTACAACAACTATGGTTAATATATGGTTAATATCATCTATGGTTAACAATGGTTAACAATATGGTTAATATATGGTTAACAACTATGGTTAACAACTATGGTTAACAACTATGGTTAATGGATGGTTAATATCATCTATATATATATACCTATCTGGTTGGTGGTGTATGTATCCCTCTGAAAAATGATGGAGTTCGACAGTTGGGATTATGACCTTCCCAACTGAATGGAAATTATAACAAAATGTTCCAAACCACCAACCAGAGAAATGTGGATTTAACATGATTTCACCAGCCATGAAGATTTAAGTATCAGAGGTCAAAGCTCATGCGACTTCATGGAGATGTTTGATACGCAGTTTTTTCCTGAAAATCCGTGGAGGAAAATCATAAATTATACCCTCTGGTAAGCAGCCACATAACTATGGAAAGTCACCAATTTTCATGGGTAAATCAACAAATTAAATGGCAATTTTCAAGTTCGCAAACTGTCAGTTTACCAGAGGGTAATATCCCATTATCATCCCATGATCATCCCACTAATAATCCACTATTAATCCATTAAATTACCAGAGGGTAAAATATGCCAATGTCAACAGCAGCATGAGTTTCATCAAAGCACGGATTCAACCCAAAAGTCACATGGGGATTGAAACGCACGAGCAATCAGAACGAAATACCGATGGGGATTTAAGCAACAAAAATACGGCAGCAGAACACGCTTGATGGTGGCGATTTTCCGGCAACCATGGAGACTTCACAACATCATGATTCGACAAACACAAAGACTATTTCTTAGCAATCAACATGAAGATAGACAAAAATTGGGTTATGGATTTAACCACGAAAACTCGGGATTTTTCATCTATGTTTTTAATCAAAACCGTGAGGACATAATCAGAATCGAGGATCTGACCTAACAAGTTCAAAATCAATATGAAGTTGCACAAAATATATTCCCAACTGATTGGTGGTATACATACCCCTCTGAAAAATTATGGAGTTCGACAGTTGGGATTATGAAATTCCCAACTGAATGGAAATTCTAACAAAATGTCCCAGACCACCAACCAGCCAAATGACTGGAAACTAGTGTTGCTATAGGATATCCATTGTGTGTGAGCAAGAAACACCGTGGAATTCAAGGGACGTCACACGCACTTCAAGTAGGACGTAGCAATGAATGTTTCAGGAGCCACAAAAAAACATCAAGGTGAAAGACATGGAACAATGATGGATTCACTGAGTCAACCAGCAACATCAAAACATGACAACTCAGGATCCCCACGAGATGAGAAAACGATAGAAAACTCATAAATCCGCATCCCAAACCTTGTAACCAACTAGCAATCGGGAACCACTTCCCATATGAAATCACCAAGAAATCTATGGGAAATCTGGTTCCGGTGAGATCACCCCGGCGCCGCCAGTGGTCAATTGAGGTTATCCCACCAGGCGTTGCGCCGCCTTCAGTTTGGACAAGTCTTCCTTCTCTTCTTCCGCAGATTGGCCTCGGAGATGCAACGTTTAAAACGGCAATGGGACATTCCGTATTAAAATAGGCATTAAAATTGTGACATCACCTGAAAAAAATCGGATTTCTTTGAACTAACCACGTTGATTAGCAGTGCAGAAGGTATCCAGAAGGTATCCAATCTTGTCCGATGATCTGGCTGAAATTGGTAGCATTGAACTTCAGATTCTCAAGATGCGGTTGAGCGTACAACCTCGTTGTTGTTGACATGGCTATGGAAAACCTACTTTCATGTAATCAAAGCGACCATGCTGGTCATAGCCCAGCCATTTGATCAGGCAATACGGCTATGTAATAAACCAAACACACTTTTTACTCAGCATCACCATGAGTAATTGTTCTACAAGCGGACCAATCCAGTTATATAACCTCAAGAAAAAAACACACGGCTGAAATTTGCCTAATGGACCCAAAGGGTAGTTAAACATGTTAAACATGTTAAACATGTTCCCGGATTATCCTCAAACGTTGGATTTGACCATTTGGAAAAGAAAACAATAGACAATTCTCTATATACCATCTGGTTATGACTAACATAGCCATGGAAAATCCCAATTTTTTTAATAGGTAAACCATCTATTTCTATGGGCCATTTTCCATGGCTAGGTTAAATAACCAGAGGGTACATAGTCTTTATCTATTGAATCATAATCATTAAAACAACTAGAATATGGCAATTTATGTGTTCTATTATATATTCCACTAGCTTCAGCAAATGGGAAAAAACACGTGTGGATATGTTTCCCTTATGTCGTTCTGGGACTTCCCATTGCCAACCATTGATGACCAGATGGCATCCCTAATACTAGTGTTGGTTATGTCTTCAATGAAATCCTTATTGAATTTTTCCATGACATTCTAGATTCGACAGTCAATACCAATCAAAATCCCTATCAAAATCCCTATCAAATGCCCAAACAAATCCCAGGAAATCTCTGAGACTGGATGGTAATAGCGAAATAGTTGATTTTCCCATTAAACATTGCCATTTTCAGTAGCAAACTGTTAAATTACCAGAGGGTATCCCATTGATTCACCATGGTTTCACCATGCTGAACCCCCATGCCCGAGCTTGGCACCGGCGTTGTCCGACGCGTTGGTCACACCCACTTTCCTCCAGGTCCCGGAGGTCCCCAAAAGCCAGAAAAAATGGTCATGCGCGTGTTATGAGTATATAATGGTTATATATATATACTATATAATGGTCATACTATATATAATATACATAATATATAATATAAAATGGTCATACTATATAATGGTCATAATATATGGGCAACGCGTGCTTTCTCAAGCATCAATCCCCATGGCTGGTTGATGTTTTGCTTCACTAAGATTGAATAAACAAACACCTGTTCATTTGTGAAAGCATGAACGGAGATACAGTAGGGATACATCTCGTTATAACCCCACCCACATATATACTACCATTATCTACCATTATTTCAAAAAAACTCTCCATTAACCAACATGCCGAAAGATTGACTATGGACTGATCATGACGTTTCATCACATTTATTATTTCACAACATAGGCATTGCCTTTCTAACAGTTATGTGGGTAAATTATACCCTCCGGTAAACTAACATAACTATTGAAAATTGCACATTTATAGTTGATTTACCTATTGAAGTGGTTATTTTCCATAGTTCTTTGTATGTTTACCAGAGGGTAATCATTCACTAAGCTGAAAAGTTTGGCTATATTGGGCACATTTCCCTTACATTCACCATCATTCCAGTGACATCGCAGTGAGCTCATTATAATTTACCCAAGCCACTGTAGTATACATATGGACCCATGGTTTTTGGGGTAACCCCATTTGTGAAAACCTCCATATCCATATATATATATATGTATAATAAAACCCACACATTAATTATAATGCACATTCTGATGTATTATACGAGACCAATACCATATTCTGATATAATATATATAGTATATATATATATATAATCTATATATATAATATATATAAATAACCACCTAGGTCTTCAACATATCAATAATTTTGGGTTGACCCCTAGCGTTCTACGTCTTTTAACCATGAATCCAACTGGCAGGCGCCGACCTGGCAGCTTTGGCCCGGACTTCTCGAAGATGCGCCTCCAACCTGCTTCCCGGGCATCCGACCGGTCCCATCCTCCGGTCCCAAATGCTCCATGTATTGGAAGAAATCCTGCACCAGTTGAAAACGGTGGTAAACATGCCATTATTTTGTTGGGGTTTCAACCATACTTTTGGTGGTGCAGGATTTCGCAACCATCCACAGTATATCTCTATATATACACCCTTGCAAAATAACATACACCTCGAAAGACCAAAAAAAAACGTTTCTTAACATGGCACCTGCGGTCAAGGGTTTTATCTTAACTAAATTGTATAAATATACGGATTCAACGTATATGACATTTACCCAAGTTTGTCCCAAAAATGCCGGTTGAATATCTATACTACCTACATTTGAACCATATGTTTGAAGTTACTATTCCATACATGGAGCCGTTGGGTGTCAACAACCTCGCCTCCTGACAGGCTCCCGCAGCACAAGAGTTCTGCCCAGTAAATGCACATGTGCGAACCAGAGATTCTCATCATTTGACTCATCATCCAAAATTATGGTTTATGGTAGATATATCTAGACTTACTATGGTTTAAAAACCAATTTATAATATGGGTTTAAAAACCAAACAAACATAACTGGCGGGGCACCACCTTGTGAACACCTGAGCGGCGTCGTAAACCGGGTAGCGATCTGGTTCTAATCCTTAAAAGCTTTCGCGACGGCTTTCGCGGTTCTTTGCTTTCGCGGTTCTTTCACGCGAACAGTTTTGGCTTTCGCGGCGGCATTTGTTTCGCAATATCTTTCACGGCGGCTTTCGCGGAAAATATTCGTAAATCATGTTACACAAGACTATATTATGGCCATCTGAATATTGGTACAAGAATATGAAGATCTACTCTAATCATCTGCTTTCGCCGCCGCTTTCGCTGCTTGACCTTGGCACACTCCTTTCGCGGAGCTTTGCTTTCGCTGCTTGACCTTGGCACACTCCTTTCGCGGAGCTTTGGCGTGGCTTTCGCGCGTGGAGGTTTTGCTTTTGCGGGAGGTTCCCCACATGAACCCGAATACTAAATCCCTTTATGGAGGTTTTTGGTGCCGCTTACCTGCAATACGGGCCTAGGCGACAACCTCGTCAGGATCTCTGCCTTCTGTAGCTACAAATTGGTCTAAAACGCGGCTGCAGTATTGATATGCTGTTTTTTCGAAGCTGGTTAGGTTAAAATATCCTGGTTTGTAGCAAGGAAATAGAGTACTACACAAACCTTCACTAAGGTTTCCCCGATAAATTGAAAGTATTTTTCAATATTTTGCCTTGTGGTGTTGTCCGACTTCTCTCTTTGCTTCTTGCAGCAGGAAGGATACCCGCCGCATCAAGCATTTTGGCACATAGTTGCAGGACAAACTAAATTTAGGATAGAATACCAAGTCAACTTGCAATCTCTTGGGCGCCTCCAAAAAAACATCATCTTCATCGAACCACATTTTCCCCTGAAAATGATTCCAAACCCCCAAAGCCTTAGCTTGGAAGATGATCTAATCTTTCAAATGACAAATAACGAGATAATTGAAATTCCTATGTTTGAACATGTAAAAACTGAAGTATAGATTAACATTGTCTTTTCAAACATTATATAATTATATGTATATACGTGTCTGGATATCCCTATTATGGATTGAACAAATCAAGTCGCAACAGTCGATCAATACTTGTTGCTACCCTTCAGCGGTCCGTTGGAGCAGCGCCTCGCAGACAATGCTTGCTGCCGTTCCAGAAGCTCTTCTGGCACGGCGGTGTTGAGATGTCCGTGCCCCAAAATGAGCCATAAAAAAGGGGGAATAGTAACTCATTTGGGGCATTGGTAACCCACCATTAACGGATACGGGATATCTCTTGTTGGTAGTTGATGAATTAAGACTTCTGCAACGGTTCCAACAATGCCATTCAGCCTGGTCGCGTGCCAAAGGATATCGAATCAGAGACCTCCCATTGATGAGTATCATCCTGGCTTTGGGGTGAGAATTGTTCGACGCCAAATCACAGATTTTTCGCTTCGTCTTTTTGCGATTAGGCACTATTTATTTGTGTTTAACACTTCTAGAATTTAGCTATGTGGATACAACAAAGGGTGCAACAAGGTCAAATCCTCAAGCATACCAATTCTGCAGGGCAAACTATTGCAGCTACTTGCTGCAGTTCCACTTAAGCCGTCGTTGGCCATAGTTGCAGGGTTTGTGTCCCAATTTATGGGGGTTACAACCATGCTGAAAAACAATCAATAAACCCAATTGCACCCCCGACTACAAGGTGGTGCCCCCCCAGTTATAAATAGGTTATAACCCCATTAACTATAGATATACCACCTATAAACTATAGTTATTGGGCTTATAAACCATCTCAGCTAACGAACTGGGGCACCACCCTGTATATTCTATCAGCACAGCTCACTAGCCTTCTTGGCGTAACAAGCCAGCAGGACCAACATTGGGCTGCGCTGCTCCGCCTGCATGGAGATGCATAGAAAACACATTGGGGAGTGCTTATATTGTGATTGTGTATCCCACAGTAATTTAGATGGGTGAAGTACTTAAAAAAAGTACAATGTTTTACCACTTATACATTCTATGCAGGGCTGAAAACCAGTTACAAATCATTTAGCGAACTTCAAGGATGATTCCAGTACTGCCAGCCATTGACCAGACATGATTTCTTTCAAGCAGCCTGATGCTGACCTTCTGCAGTTAAATCCACTGATGAGAGGCTTGAGATTTTCCAGCAATGAGTTATTAAGTTGGCGATTCAAAAGACAATCCAATCATTATTTATAAATGCTGTATAGGGTTTATATAGGCCTATAGTATAGTTTTTTTAAATGTTTATATGATATATGCTATGGGCCTATAGTATAGGGTTTATTTATGTTTATATGATATATGCTATGGGCGCCTATAGTATAGGGTTGATTTATGTTTATATGATATATGCTATGGGCCTATAGTAAAGGGTTTATTTATGTTTTTATGATTCATGCTATGGGCCTATGGAGTAGGGTTTATTTATGTTTATATGATATATGCTATGGGCCTATAGTACAGGGTTTATTTATGTTTATATGATAAATGCTATGGGCCTATAGTACAGGGTTTATTGATGTTTATATGATATATGCTATGGGCCTATAGTAGAGGGTTTATTTATGTTTATATGATATATGCTATGGGCCTATAGTAAAGGGTTTATTTATGTTTATATGATATATGCTATGGGCCTACAGTATAGGGTTTATTTATGTTTATATGATGTACGCTATGGGCCTATAGTAAAGGGTTTTTTTCATGTTTTCATTATTCATGCTATGGGCCTATGGAGTAGGGTTTATTTATGTTTATATGATATATGCTATGGGCCTATAGTACAGGGTTTATTGATGTTTATAAGATAAATGCTGTGGGCCTATAGTACAGGGTTTATTGATGTTTATATGATACATGCTATGGGCCTATAGTATAGGGTTTGTTTATGTTTATATGATATATGCTATGGGCCTATAGTAAAGGGTTTATTTATGTTTAAATGATATATGCTATGGGCCTATAGTATAGGGTTATTTTATGTTTATATGATATATGCTATGGGCCTATAGTAAAGGGTTTATTTATGTTTATATGATATATGCTATGGGCCTATAGCATAGGGATAATTTATGTTTATATGATATATGCTATCTATACCAATAATAGAAGTTGGTGCCCCCCAGTTCGAAGTTGGTTTCTAAACCATAGTAAATATAGATATATCTACCATACACCATAGTTATTGGAGTTGTAAACCAACTTAGCCAACTATGGGGCACCACCCTGTAATTTTTTTCTTTGGTAGATATGCAGCTGAATGGGATAGAAACCAACCCATGGCCAAATTTCTAGACCTAAACTCATGGCGAGCCCCTTGGAAAACTACACTCCGTCAAATGGAAGAGTGACAACCAACAAAACCCGTAAATGTATGTGTATATATATATATGTACACGTGTATATGAGAGATCTATATATATATATCTATATATATCTATATATATATATACCTAGGCCTCCCGGCTGGGTAAAATTTCTTCCGCCAACCAGGCTAAAGAAATTATTGTCGCTTCAGTAACTTCTACCGTCTCAGCCAAAAACTTCCGTTTCAACTGTTTGGCGGGATTCTTGCCGTGTCAGCTGCCATTCTTGCATTTTCTCACTTTTGTGATATTCACACACTTTCGGCAACATGGGCAGATATGTAGCATGTCAAAATCCAAATATGCATTGAAAACAACCAAAAGAAATATGCCGTTTGGTTGGGAATCTATGCGGTTTCAGTTTGCCATTCTTTTGGTATGAGGTTTTCAAGGTGGACACGTGAGTTGTGCGTTCTTCATGCGAGGAAAGTCTCCGCCACACCTGTGGAATTGAGAGAATCCCATTCCACTCAAAACATCACAATTTGCTGGAGCCATTCAAAATCCAAAGTTTCCGTCTCATCAAAAATACTACATTTGAGGGTTGGCCCCTCCAAAAGATATAATTTTAACCAGACACACAAATAATTTTTGCTGCCCCGGTTGTTCTAGGTATATACACATGTGTATATGATATAAATATATATATACACACTGGATTTAATATACATACATACCCCCATTATATAGCCATATCAATGGGATTTAACCATATTTTCTTTTGTTTGTCTTTCATAGGAATGCTTAGTTTATGGCCAAATGATGCCCTACCCCCCAGCCTCGTTTCACGGAAGGTGCTACAGCCGGAGCGACCGGAAGCTGCATTTGGACTGCAGCGGCAGCCGGGTTCGAATCCAAAGTTCATTTTAATTTACATCAGTTCATGCTGGATATTATTGGAGATATGTCCCAAAAGAAGTATCTGGTAGTGGGATTGCTGCATTTTGAAAACAATATTTCACATCGTAATGTCCACTGCTAGCGCCACATCACTGGCCATACCATGCATACAACTCAATTAAACTATTAGCTGGAAAACATATTCCCCCTTGTGGGTTTTCTGTCGGAAAAATAATACCCCAAGATCCAGTGATTAGTACTCATGTTCCCTATGAAAATTGCTATTTATAGATCATTTCCCATGAAAACCATCATGCTATTTCCATCTATTTCCACATCTATTTTAATCTACTGAAGGGTACATTGCCCCAAAAACAGTTGGACATGACTTCGGTCACATCAATTTGCACATTGAGAAACACGCTGAAACCCCACAAGAGTATGGCATATGTTTTCAGTTTTTCAACAGGTCAATGAATGACTCCAGTAACAACTAACAACCAATAATTATCTTTAGTAACAACCAACAAACAATAATTGTAAATTGTTCGAAGGACCTGGCATCATATGCCACCAGCTTCTCTATTGCTGACCTCATTTATCACTTCCAAATATGTTCATGAAACTTGTAACACAGCATTCAGGGATATAATTCACAAAAAAACGCACCAAAAACGATCCGGAGGTAGGCTGGAGGAACATAGGAATGCTCACTGTTCGCAATTTGGGGTGTAGATCCGTCAGGTTTAGACCTGATACCTTTCAAATCTCAAAAAAAATCTCAGAAGTTCATATCTGATTGTGGTATCACCAAGAGGCAGTAATGAAACAAAAGAAACTGCGGGCATGAACGGTTTTTCCTATCAAGGCAATGATGATTTTGCGGGATAGGCCGTTAATTGAAACTATGGCAGCCAATGTAATTTCAAGTGATCCCTGTCAGTTGAAATTGACGATTGAGGTGTCTGAACGTAGCAGCAGGGATGACCTCGGCGCAATTGACACTGACCTTTAAGCCCATGCAACAATAGACTCCGGCAACAGCAATGCCAAGTAATGACAACTTTCGCACCTGCATATGCAAGCACATCACCCCTTCAGACAATTGTTGACCCATTTTGAAACATTTTGACACATTTGGAAGCATTTTGAGCAATTTTGAACAGTTTTGAGCCATTTTAAGAAATTTTGAACAGTTTTGAGCATTTTTTTTTGCCCGCTTGGGTGAATTCGAGGAATTTTGAGCATTCTTGTTGGGCAAGTTTGGGTCATGTCGAGCAATTTTGAACAGTTTTTGGAAACACGATATGGCATTGTTGACTTTGGACAGTGTTCAAAATGTCTCAATTGAGGCTGCTTTGAGACATCTTACTTTGGCTGAAAAAGGTGCCTGATGTAAACCCCACGGATCTAGACCCTAAAATGAGATCAGTGAAATGTCTTTCTTTCCAATTCATATCAGAAGGATGTAGGTGAACAAGAAGTGGGTTGTGCGCGTCAGTGTCAGTTGGGGCAATCACAAACATGTTGTGGTCACAAGATAAACATGTTTCATTGACTGAAAACGAAAAGTTTCCAACAAAGTCCATGTGGCTTTGACGGCTTTGATCATCAAAATCGCTGATGTCTTCCTCAAATTCCAACCTTGCATGTGCCCATTCACAACTGGACAGCATGCAACAGTCGCCCGCATTCTCAATTTTCCTGGCAAGTTCATGAGTGTAAGTGTTGGTGTTGATTCCTCTGATTTTTTTGCCAAGAATAGGTCTTTGTACGAACAAGAGGTAGTTAACTCTTACGGCTGGTGCCTTTCCGTAGTTCTTGAGCCTTGCCTGGGTAGCTGTGTGGATCATGCGGTTGATCCAAAACTGAAGCAAACTGACCTCATAAGTTGGGCATCCTCCGGCTTTCGGGGTTGCAAGGTAGCATGCTTTGTTCCCGCTGCCTGCGATCACGTCAACTTGAAAACGGATTCACTCAAAAAACATGCATGCAAGTGCTTCTCCGCACATTCCTGGCGACTTGGAAATACGGTCTTGTCCGACGTGATAAACACACACGACACATGGAAATTCATGCTCGAGTAAGGGGCTCCTCTTCTTCGGTGTTCCTGTTTTTGCCAGTGCTCCATAAAATCTCAAATATGGCCCATGATACGTATCTAGCAGGCGCGTCATCTTCACCAGTGTTGTAACCAGCGATTTGTCGAACATATCCATCAGGTCACGATAATCGTCATCTTTTTCCTACACGAGCAGCGACCATGAGGTCACGCTAATCTCAAATGTTACGTATACAGCAAAGTAACGTATCACATCTCACCAAATGTTTACTCATTTTATGTTCAGATCCAAAGATATTCGCATAAAAATCACCATGAAATCCCAATCGCAATTTTTACCAATGCGGGTAAAACAATTTCAAAAAATCACCCAAATCACCATTTTCAAAGATGGTATGGTTACCATTCCCAGTCATGGGTGGTTTATGGCATTGCTTCTACCCACATTCGTCATCATTAATAACCATTAATAAGACATTAATAGCCCATAAACCATGAATAGTCATTAATCATTAATCACCATTCATGTCAAAATCACATTTTTTACTAGTAAAATTACGATATTACTAGTAAAACCGCCATTTTTACTAGTAAAACCACCATTTTTTCTAGTAAAATTACCATGAAACCACCATTTTTATTAGAAACATCAACCTTTTTTGAGGGCCAAAAAAGCAGTGACACATCGCCGTGCCGTTGAGCCTTTGGGTCGTGGCATCTCCAACGTCATCCGTACGTTGCCCTTGGCGCTGCTGTCTGGCAAGGTGCACCTTGGAGCAGGTTGGTGGAAAGGCATGTCTATGTTGATTGGAAAACGCAAGTAAATATGATGAATTGACCAGAAAGCAACAAGCTATAAAGACTGATCTAATCCAACGGCCTGGTACAGCTCGTTACGGCGATCACTGTTGTGATGTTGACCCGAATGGAACAACGTTACGGCAATAGGGCGGGGGTGTCTTTTTGTGGGTCTACTACGCCCCAGTAAAATGGAGGTGCATACCCCAGGAAAAGGAATGTGTCGCAGGCATATAAAACAAGCAACCTTAGAAAAAGAAAGAAAAACTAATATGTCTGTATGCACTTGCATGTATCATGAAGCAAAGTTTACCCAGAGCACTCGGAGATTGTCTAGGATACTCTGCAGTCATTTCCAGTTTTAAGCCTTGTCCAATTTCAAGTGAATTTCAGTCAAACAAGAGAATGTAGTGAATTTCACAGAACATAAGTGGATATAATTGGATATAATTGGTATTTTTAAGCATCACATATATGAAAATATATATATATATATACGTATATATATATATGTGTGTGTGTGTGTGTTGCGAACTACTCACTGCTTTTAAGGAATTGAGTGTGAATCTGAAAGTAATTGCTGGTCAGTGGCCAGTTTGGAATGGAATCCCGGGGGGCTGCTTCTGGAGCAGCCTTGAGGGCCAAACCACCACACAAATCAAACAGACAAAAATAGACAATACCAACTGGTTTTTTAACATAATTATGGAAAATCAGCATGTTTAGGTAAAATATAGGTAAATACATCCCAAAATCGGAGCATTTACTCAACTTACCCCTCTATCCTTGCCCTGGACAACTTGAGTTTTTTGGGCTTTTCGGCAGATTTTCGGATTCGACAGCCATCCCAGTTTGCTGTGAAATCACCCCACCAACATCTGGGGCATCATATCGGCTGTTCCTTCAACTATGGTTTATGATACCTATAACTATAGTTAATGGGGTTTATAAACACAAAAGTATGGGGAGGTCCTAGACTAGCATACCCCAAATCATCCAAGTCATTCGACCAAGACTTAGTATTGAACCCCATGGTGACTTGGGGTACTCCATTTCAGGAAGCCTCCAATAAACATACCAGTAATCCATTACTATCAATGATTCACCCTGAATTAGCCCATTCCAATCCCACTAATCACCAGAAAATCATGAATGAAATCCCCATAAACCATATTAATCACCATATAATCACCATAATCACCATCTCCATGCATATTTTTTGTTCATGGTTACATGGTCACCATATCTACAGGCTGGTGCCCCCCCATTAGCTAAGTTGGTTTCTTTATAAACCATAGTAAGTAGTTCGATATATCTACCATAAACCTAAGTGAAATTTGAGTTATTTGCACCAACTTAGCGACCAGCTCACTGGGGCGCCATCCATTAACCATCCATTAACCACCATTAACCATTGTTAACCACCATTAATCACCATTCACCATCCATTCACCATCCATTCACCATCCATTCACCACATCTACCCTCCGGTAAATAAACATAGACCCTGAAAATCACCAATTTTTAATGGAAACTAGTCTTCCAACCCCTATCTGCCAGGGTCTATGTTAATTTACCAGAGGGTAACCATGAAAAAAAACACATCACCCACCCATCGGAGTCGAGGAACTGGATGCCATCCAGATCTTTGGTCAAGCGCACCTGGGAGGCTTCAACGGCTTGAACGACGACCCTGGTTCATGGTTAATGGTTAAATCCCCATATTTTTTGGTTGATGAATGGTGATTCTATGGATTCTTAATGATTATTCATGGATTATTCATGGTGATTTAATGGTGATTTAATGTTGATTTAATGGTGGTTTAATGGTAAGTGTATGGTGGTTAATGGGGATTGCAATGGCTTAATCAGTGTTTTCATAGTGGGTTAATAGTGGTGAACGATATAAAGTTTATGGTTTAATGTGGTTTAATATGATTTTATGGTTTGGATCTAAGTTGATAATTGTCCTTTGTACTGCAGATATAAATTAGATCCAATGCCAAATACTTAAACCTGTGGCTACTTTAACAATACTCCTCCACTTATCTGGGTAGTTACTTATCTCAAAACAACATATTCTGTTGCTACTTCACCAAAATTCACCAAAATCACATATTTTTGGCTGGTTGGTGGTTGACCTACCCCTCTGAAAAACATTGGTCAGTTGGGATGATTCAAAATCAATATATGGAAAAATAAAACATGTTCCAAACCACCAAGCAGTTGGGATAGCTACCCATTCCAGATCATCTTCTTCCATTTCTGGTAAGCATTTAACACCTCGGTCCGTTGACGTCCGCCGCCTGGCATCCCAATCTGGAGGTATCCGTCAACGTGAAGGTGGAGTCCAACAAATCTTCCTGGAGAACAAGTTCTTACCATGCTGAATCTGTGGTCATAGAAAAAATGGGCAATTTGCTGTTAGGTTTATTTTCGATTCCATTTATAACTGGTAGCCCACCAAAAAACTAAAAATTGACAATAATAAATCAGAAATAACATAGATAACCCTATTATTCACTATAAATAAGCTATTATTTTATAGCTGGTAGTCACCTATTTATTCACCAAACAAAAACTGGTTGGTGGTGCAATAACCACCTTGAAAAAGATGAGTTCGTCAATGGTTGGTGGACTAACCCATATATGAAATTGAACATAAAACTCATGATTGAAACCACCAACCAGAATCACCATTAATCATTATTAACCATTATTAACCAATTACAATCCCCATTAATCACCATTAAATCACCATCAACCCATTACAATCCCTTAATCTTTTGCAGCTGCTGGTGATTTTTCTGGTTTGAAACCGTCGCTTGGGGACGCAACGTGGTGAATTGTTTCCGAAAAAACAAGTCACTGGGCAGATGTTCACCCATGAAAAACATGCGGAAAAGCTGCAAGGTGGGGGCCCCTAACAATAGCTAAGTTGCCTTATAAGTGGTGTAACAATGGTTTATGGTAGATATAACGAACTAGTTAATGGATGTTAATGGGGTTTAAAAACTAACTTGTAACTGGGGGCCCCACATTGTAGGGAACGGGGACTTAGGAACCAGGCTTATTAACCAGATATTAGCCATGAGAGTTATTACATGTTATTACACCATATTACCCTTTTTTCCCATCTCATGAAATACTGGTGGGTAGAAACGAATGGCTTCTAGTTAACTAGTTGGGGTAGTTAATAATCACCAATAACGCTAGTATAACTCCATAGAAAAACCAGGTATCTAGAATGGATCAGATGGGCCCTGCAACTACTTGGATAGTAAATATAACATACCCTTGTTGGGTTGAAAAAATTGTATTAAAAGGGCAATGAAAAGGAGATCACACACCAAGTGCATTTCGGGTAGAAAGTTTGGAATAATTACCATCTGGTTATTTAACATAGCCATGGAAAATCACCATTTTTACTAGGTAAACCATCTATAAATGGGCCATTTTCCATGGCTATGTTAAATAACCAGAGGGTAGATCATACCTACCCTAGCTATAGATTCTATAGATGGACAATGGACTATCCTCAGCTATGGGGAAAGCACATGCTGGGATGCAACCCCATGATTGGGGTGCCAAACTCTCAAATAATAGGCTTATAATAAGTCTTATACGGGTACATTGACCAACAACTATATATCTATATATATATATATATCTATATATATTATATTATAATATATTATATCATCATAGATTATATTATATTTGTATATTAAATTATATCATAAGAAATTATATTATATATAATTGCCAAGTTGGCATGCCAATATTAAGGATATGAAGCTGCAAATCGCCGGCTGGATCGGCGATAATGTTCCCTATGAAATGGCCATGGCCAATGGGTGCGACCGTATCATGCTGTATCCCATTGGAAAACACAGACCATGACATTGAAATTAATGCTTATGTATCTTTAATTACTGGCACGACATTGCTATTAATGCTGATACTGGGTGTTTATGACAAATTCAGTGCTACCTTCTGTTTATGACATAAATTCCACAATTTTGTTGCTTGGTACATTGATTTATCTATCATCATGACGAAATTCTTCACTCCATGTAGATCTAGTCACATCCCCATGTAGATCTGTGAAACCACCAAGCCATTGAAACTCGAGCTGACGCTGAGATAGCTATTGAACAATGCCAATGTTTGGTTGATTTACCATAAAAAACTTCATTTATGGATGGTTAATAGATGGTTACTGGTGGTTAATGGTTGGATTTACCTATCAAAAGTATAACGGGTTTTCATAGTTACCTTCGTGAAAAACCAGAGGGTTTAACAAACCTCCACGAGTTACATGAAACATGGCTATGAAGAATCCCCAGCATGGCTATCAATCATCCCATAAAAAACTTCATTTATGGATAGTTAATAGATGGTTACTGGTGGTTACTGGTGGTTACTGGTGGTTAATGGTTGCTTAATGGATGGTTAATGGATGGTTAATATCATCTATGTATGTATATATATATATACCTATCTGGTTGGTGGTTGACCTACCCCTCAGAAAAATGATGGACTTCGTCAGTTGGGATGATTATTCCATTCCCAATATATGGAACAATAAAAGCCATGTTCCAAACCACCAACCAGATATATGGTTCTTGTATGTTGTTATAAGGTATATCCATAGTCAGATGGTTGATAATGGCTTGATCATCAGTATTCTAAGAGATCTATACATTAATAGCATAGTGGATCTTTCCAGTTCGTTATGTGGCTACGTTTACCAGGCCGGGTAGTCCCATGATTTTCCCAGCCTCGCGGACGCCTGGGCTTTGCAGACGTTCGAAGTAGGGCTTCTCCAAGATCACGTGGCACGTGGCACACTGCGGCGCGTCGTGGCACGTGTTGGGTTTTTCTGGGAACGATACATCTGGTGAATCTCATTAAAATATGAAAGGGAACTATGATGAGATACTGTTTGAGATCTAGTTTAAGGCGGAGAGATCACTTGAAGACCATTGTTTTTGGGCGGATGGCTAATGTTAGGTAGACAAAAACAGTTGATTCTGGGCTGGATATTCCAATACCCCCTGTTGGGGCTAAGACTCCCCACATTCTCACCTGGCATTCACCAGTCGGTTTATCCATATACCTTCGCCTTTGTTGCTGATATTCCAATATATGGTTTAATTGGGGATTTTATCCACATACCAGTAAGTTTGTCCAAATATTCCAACATTATAGGCTAACATATGTTAAAATCACTAAGTTTGGATGTCACAAACAACCATTGATTCACAAAACCACGGTCGTGTTAAATTGGGTAAATGATTGTAACCGTGAGTTCGCCTGAACATAGGATACCCTATGTTAACTTCATGCTTCATGACTTCATCATTGTATTTTCCATTAAATCAGTTCTTTGCTTAGCTTAATGTGGTACTGTACCCAGCAAGAAAACTCCCTTAACTGGGAATGATCGGAATCTGACCCAGACAAAAAAACACATTTTTAGGCACACATCGATGCTGTGGTCCAGCGAAACGCAGGGATTGGGGAAATGGGATGATTGTGGAAATTGTTATGGATTGGGCCATTCCCCCATTCCCTAGCTAGCACCAGCAAATTTAATGACTAATCGACCATTATTTAACAACTAGATGCTTAGATGCACACATTTTGAATGCGAAAAAACCTATCACTGAGTAATGTAAATCAACTATAGTGATTAACCACTGATTTAAGTGGGGATTTAATGGGAAATCCACTGATTAATCACGATTAACCACTGTTAAATCCCCACTTCACCATCGTGGTTATGTCGAAAAAAAACATGGGGAAACCAGGTCCCCAACATCATTCCATTTGTGAAATCCCATTGTCAAATTTGTGGCCAAAAAGGCAAGCTTAAATCCCTATAAATGATCAACAACATAGGGATTTAATCTATGATTGTAGCTATATAGATCAATGTTAATCCCTATAGATTATAGGGATTCTCAATGATTAAATTTCTATAAAACAATCACCATAATAGTAAATTGATGTGAGTTACTTGGCTGTAGATATTTCAAAAATCCCCCATGATCAGATGATATCATGAAAAAACACTATTTTTTTTTAGATGGTTTGAATACTTTTTGAAAATAAAGTAGATGGTCAACAGTTATTCAAACCCCTACAAGTAGGTCATTTCACAAGTTCTGAGTACAGTCAATCATCATTAAAGCCTGGTTGGTGGTTGACCTACCCCTCTGAAAAATATGAGTTCGTCAGTTGGGATGATTATTCCATTCCCAACTGTTTCTGGAAAGTCATAATCCAGCCATGTTCCAGTCACCACCAACCAGCTATTGTTGATATTTCTCATCACTGTGGAAAATCACCATTTTATAGCTTGGTACAGTCAATCATCTATAAACATGCTATAAAATCCCTATAACCAATGTGATTTTTAATGCTATTTAATCTGTAGCCATATCACTAACTGTGGTACAGCCTCATCAATCATCACCATTAAATCATCAAGCTATAAACAAATCCCTATTTCTCAATCAGCCACATCTCACATCCATTTTCCCGCTAATGTTCATCGGGCGCATCGCCTGGAGTTTCTGCCCACACGCAGCATGAATGTCCACCCCGTGTTCCTGGAGCACTGCCAAGACTGAAAGAATCTGAAAGATATAAAAATAAAATAGGAATAGAAGGGCGGTTTCAAGGCCTACAATCTATGAACATCCAAAATGGGAATCAATCCCGTTTTGGAATGAAAATCTATACAAGAAACCAACATTAGTGAATCATTCCAAATAGAACCTGTAGAAAAAACAAGTGTGGAGCCACCATCAAGAAATGGTTCTCCCTGAGTTCAGGCCTCCGACTAAGGGATCTATACTAAGGGATCTATACCCTCTGGTAATCTATACCCTCTGGTAATGTAACATAGCTATTGAAGCCATGACCATAGAAAGTTCGTGGATTTACCGATTGATAGCATGGTGGATAACAAACTCATGAAAGAGCAACAACAAATCCCGAAATTTTTCAATCAGCCACATCTCACATCACTTTTCCCATTGGTGCATCTCACCCATTATCATGTGTGTATATATATATATCCCATTATCTGATATATATATATATATATATACATACAGATCATAAATAAGTATTACTATGATATCTGATATTCTGATAAAAATTTACTGCAGGGCTTCATCCCCGGTGATTTCGCCTTGGCCACGTCCACCAGCGTAGATCCCACCGGTGCCTTCACCGACATCCGCCTGCGCGGAAGGTGTGTCACATATCGTATCCGTTTAGGGATTTCTATGGGATTTCTTTGGTTTTATGGGATTTGATATGGTTTTTATGGGGTTCAGATTTAGTGGGATTTATGGTCTTTTAATGGTGATTTAATGGGATTCAATATAGTTGAAAATGGCTATAAAAATGCCCATTTATAGTGATACATATTAATGTTTACTGTTTACTGTTTACTAATGTTTACTATCATTGTAAAAACAACATCATGAAGATTATGATTTTCATATTCTCATTCGTCGCATTCTTGCTATTCCGAATATTGGATGTACCTGAATGGATATATCTAGTATCTAGTTACGTAAAGGTAATTACCCTCTGGTAATTTGTTACAGTTCGCTATTGAAGCCACGGCCATGGAAATAGTGGATTTAGCCATTGAAAATGGTGGATCTTTCCAGTTCGCTATGTAAACGTTTACCAGAGGGTAAACCTCCATTTTCCTATGGGTTTTCCTATGGTTTTCCCATTTTCCCATGGGATTTCAGCTAGCAAACCGGATGCACATCCAAGTATGGGGTCATAACTGCACTGTAACTCTGCTTTGGACTGGTGAAATGGCGAAGCAACCCGAGTTTGATTGGAACATCTTTCATAGCGGGAGCAGGGCCATCATATTGCTATAAGTTATAAGTAATAAACTCAAAGCCCAAACCATCCTCACTAAAAACCGCCTTTTTTTTGGCGCACCAAATTTGTGTTTTTCACGATATCCCAGCAAATGAATGATTTTGATCTGAGGAAAAAAACGTTTATCCCAACAATACCCTCTGGTTATTTAACATAGCCATGGAAAATGGCCCATAGAAATAGATGGTTTACCTACTAATAGCATGGTGGATCTTTCCGTGGCAAACTGTTAGTCAAAACCAGAGGGTAACTCCCAACATTAGCAGTCTGTGTATCACTGGGATGCTTTAGATCATCACTGGGTTTCCCCAATCTGAAATGCCATGTTTTTTTCAAACGAAACGTCCGTTAAATAATTTCCCATGATATCCCTAAGTCTCATATATTCATGGCGTTCTATGGATTGTTTCTGTAAAATTCTACAGTAGATTCTATAGAATCACCAGTCACTACCTGCCGCCAGCCGTACATTTCCGCTTCAATTTTCTCACACATCGGCCGGTTTCTCAACGCCGACGTCCAAGGGCACCTGTGGTTGGATACAAAACCGAGTTGGTAAGTGGATAGTAGAGCTCGTATAAAAATATAGAATCCATATGTATATAATTACGTAATATGTATATATATATATATATATGTACATAATGATATTCCCGCCCTCAACAAAACAAACGTACTTTATCACTTATGTTAGTAAAAACTTTGATTTTCTATCTAATTATTCGGGAGTTGCTATATCGTTCATGCATGATTGAGAATATCATATCCCAAGAATAGCTGGGTGAAGTAGCTACAATTCGCTGACCCCTTTCTGAAACATGGCTAATCTTGGATACCAACCGCAAACAAATATAATGGTTTTCCTAACGAGTATCTGAATAAATATATATATATATAGATACATATGTATATCGAAATATTTTAATATAAAACTATATGTATATATAATCATATGTAAACAGTATGTATCTATACAGCCCCTTTTTTGGCAAAAACAATATGTTATACGCAACCAAGTTTTACTCAACAAAAAAAACATAAACTGTGAAGTCCGAACCGGGAGAAACTACAAACAGGATGATTTGGGGGTACCCTCATTTCAGGAAACCTCCAATTCAATGAAGATGAATGACACAAAATTCAACGGCTGGAAGAAAAACCTGAAATTCTCTTCTCATTGGCAATGGAAAGTGTCAATTGCAATCTGAATAATCCACATCCGGATTCTGATTTCAGGATGTGAAATTGATGATGCCTTGCAGTGAATTGAAACATACCCCTTTCCCATCCCATTATACTGGTTGGTTAATAGGGATCCCTATTAATGGGTTGTCAAACTCCACAATAAATTAGACACTATAGCGGGTCAGCCACTATAATTAATTTTAAAAAAATGTTAATAATTGGATGGTATTATTCTTATAATATAAGTGGAGACAACTGAATGATTTCCATCATTGAACTGGCAATCAATTAGGTACCCTCTGGTAATTTAACAGTGTGCCATTGAAAATTGCCTATTTAGTAAATTTAGTTCGTTGATTTACCTATTCGTTTTTTTCAAGTTTACCAGGCCGGGTAGTCCCATCCTATTATCGAATTATAATCCTACACTATCAGTTGATAGATTCTTAGAATTTGGTCGATGGTTTATCCCATGATAGGGTAAAAAAACTATCCCGTAGCTATGTTAGTTTACCAGAGGGTATATGAACTGATATGTTTTGTTTAATCGTTCATAATGGTCAGTTACTATTGATTAAATGAACTCTTCATAAGTGATATAGTTCAATAAGTATGCGGAGTTACTACTATTATTGATGGGGTTAAACTTATAATAGTAGTTCCACCATGATGGTGTTAATTCCCATCACATGGGAAACCATGCATAATTAATTCCCAACACCAACTTATGGGTTAAACCTATTTGATGTCCATAAATTTCGAAACCAACAAATACTGGTTGGTGGTTTTAACCATCTTGAAAACTATTAGTCAGTTGGGAAGGATTATCCCATACATTATGGAAAATAAAAAATGTTCGAAACCACCAACCAGCTATGATAGCATGTCCATGTTTCTAAATTATTTCATTAACTACTATGTTCAAAAATATCGGGAGTTAAAATGGCTAAAATAATAATTGTAGTCCCATCATGCTTAGGAATTATGGGACATTATAGTCATTATAATTCCAATTTTTCGCAATGTGGTGTTAGTTACATAATAGATCCCATTTAACCACAAATGACCCTCTCAGTTGATCATCCCGCAAAAAAAATGGTTTTTGTACTAAACTCATGATGAATACCTCCGATTTATATCATTTTATATCATTTTGTCGATCAGAAATCTTGATCCCGTAAATGGTCGGTTCAAACTAAAGATACCTGAATATGATTGAATATGTGGGTGCATTGGCCACCATTGCTTAGGAACCCAATAGGAATTATGGGACCAGTGATGGATTCCCAGCACCTTCACTGGAAGCCAACACGTGGCGAGCGGTCCCATCACCTGTCGTACATTGCCTCGACTTCAGATCATAGGACTTGGGGCTGCATCTCACTGGGTTATATCCACGGGTGTGTATATATATATGTATACAATATGTATTATATATATATGTAATTTGTATGTATGTATATATACATATATATGTATACAAATACTAAATATATATATATGAATCATTATATAATACATACAACATGTGTGTGTGTATATATATATGTATGGAATGTCCCCTAAAAATAATTTGTGATTAGATGGATTAAAATTAAAACCATTTACTAAGTGGGATGCACATCCAAGTGCCCCCAATGGATTGGACACACATCGTGCATCTGAGAGATCTGCACGCGTCACCATTGTCTTGACGCATGACGCATTGCCCATGCATTGCCCACAAATTCTGCCGGAACTCTATTATACTTCCCTATCTTCAGACACACCTTCATAATTCAACATAATCTATCAGAATTAAATGGGACCCAAATATTAAAACGAAAACAATACCATACCACTGCATCGTAGCTGGTTAATGGTGTTGTCAAGTTAAGTAACTGTTCCTTTACATACATTAATCAATACCATTGACAATACTATGTTACTGGTATAATTGACTATTAATACCATTGACAATATAACTGTTATGTTATCTGGGTAAATTATAATATTTCACTAACCTGAATCTTGTGGCCATTTGGGGATGGTTTCCCTTAAAAAAAAAAACGTGATTCCAGGGTTCGGGAGAACAGTGAGGTCGCAACATAATTTACCCAGGTTATCACAAACCATTTACCTGAACCTTCATTCGTACCCAAATTTAAAGGTACAATTGCTCATTGTACCCATTAATGGTGAAACGAGCAAGAATCTGTGAATTGGGATTATTCGTGCATATTCGTGCCAATTCGAGCGTTTTTCAATTTTGTGGGTTTAAGATGGTTTAAGTGATAATAACCCAGATCCCGCTCACCCATGTAGCCATTGAGGCCCTGGTTGGTGGTAGGTTGTGGTGCACATCACCAGCATCACTCTTCCATTTCTGCCTCAGACCCGGCAAACCCATGATATTTGAAGGTCATGCCAATGTGCATAGTTCACTTGACACTTCAGAATACTTTAGATTGATGATCCACATAAACATCCATGTCCACATGTGCAGTTCAGACACATACCAACTTCCTGCAGCACAGGGACTGCAGGGTTGTTTGCCCGTCCCATTCGATTCAGCAATGTGGTCATTGTCCTGAAGTTGAGCGAAGGCCAGCCAGCACCCCGGGATCAGGAGTTAACCTATGAAACTGTGATGGGAATAGGGATGCATATTTTTTGGGGTTATTTTCTTGAAATGGAGGACCCTAAGAAGGCTAATGTACCCACGATTTTTACTAGTATCAGATGACTCCCAGGTACCCCTTTGAATGAATGGTTCCCTCAAATTCAGCAAAATTGGCTCAGACTTGCTGGTCTCCCTAGTTTCTTGGGGCCATGTCCACATCCGTGGCTGAAGCATGGGAGGGCTCGGCGGATGTTCGGCGCAGAGCCATGCAATTTAAGATTGCTCTTTGGCAAAGACCATATATTTCGATCACTATTTTAAGATAATTTGTTTTATTTGGGGAAACAATTGGACCATATCCATTCAAACATTTGTTCATCTAAGGTGGATCTGGGGCACAAAAGCAAAGTTACCAGAGAGGCCATTGATTTGAATGAGACCCTGTTGGAGACAGTCCTTCAACACCTGGGTTCGCGCGTTGGGGTTGAGTTGGTCTACTTCCATTTGGATGCCTTGTACAAGCTTATGAAGGTCCCGGTGGAT